CAACACCAGCAGGAATTGACTTACCGGGAGATTATAACAATTCTGCCACCTTCAATCTAATGACATATGATAAGGAGACAGAAGCTTCAACGGATAATGTCGAAGCTCCTCCCAAGCCTAAGAGAATGCCGCCAGAGCTTATTGTGGATGCGGTACTGTAGTTGCTATAGTACCCCGTAAATATATATCATATGAGGCATCAAAATAACCTCATTTTCCTAATTCTTTCTTTTTCTTATTATCTTTCATTCGTTTTTAGTCATTTCCTATATATGTGTTGTATTATGATTTGAAATTCAATTTTTGGCTTAGATTTATGTCAAAACAGCCCCTGACATTCTTTTCTCCTTTGAGGGGTTGTACATCAGGGTTTGAGTAGTGCTCCGGTATGTCTCTTACTAGGTTGTGTTTATCTTCTCTATCCCTTTCCGCATCCTTCATTGTTGCAGCAGCCCCAAAACATCCGCACCTTGATGTTTTCCTACAGTTTCCCAAATCCAACCACCCAACCTCGCTATCACGACCCCAAATAGCTATCCTCCTGCTGTCCCGCAGTTCCTCATATTCCCCGTTGCTTCTGCCGACATTCCCCCTAGCTTTCGCTACCCGTAAATAACCTTTTCTTGTTATTTTCTGTTCTTCTATCCAGCCATCCACACATTCCTCTACTTTCAGCTTGCAGCCCTTGCTGCAACTCCTCCCCTACACTGTCGTCGTCCACATTCTTGTTGTCTCTGCGCCTTCTAACCTTCACCTAATCTTAGCTACCTCGTTGGAGGGTCAAACCCTCACTGATCACCACCACCATCCCGAGATCCACAATAGTTAGAATATTTGCGTCGTGTTTTTTGTTATTTCAGATTTTTAGGTGTCGTGTTATATTTCCCTTTCAAGTGTGTTGGTTGTGACTGATCATTTGCTTTTAGTAATAAAATTTACTTTTTCTATTGTTGTTCGGGTTAACTTCGGTATCATGCATCATTTACATTCATAAGCCACCTAAGTATTTTTTCTAGCAAATTATCTCCAATTAGAAGTTCTCCCAGTATTGTCTCTCTAAAATATAATCATTTCTCAATTTGTTCTTCCTACTTTTACCTAAGTCCATCTATTTTAATATTCTCCAATTTACCATGCTAAACTTGGCTATTGGAATTCTTTATAGTATAGCTAACCTGATTGCAGTTTTTTGAAAAATTACATTTATGTATCTTATAATCCTCTTATTGCTTCAGAGGCATACCTCCATTTTGACCTATAACTTTAGCCCTAGAAGTTATGTCCACATTATATCCATAGTAATTTGAATAGTCTATCCAATATTAACTGACAAAAATCAACTGCTCTTTCACTAAAATGCCAAATTATGTACTCAACATTTGTTCTATTACTTACTCTTTGTTTCATTAATACTAAGTCACATGTCTTCCTAGAATTTCTTCCATTAACCTACTTATTACCTACTAAAAAAGCAATATGACTCATCAAAACCATCCACTTTCTGATATCTCACACCAAGGTGGAATATTGTTTAAGCATTTTATATCCAACATAAAAAGAAAAAAGACATGATATTAAACGTTGTAGTAGACATTATCTTTTCATATTGAATATAAACAGTTCACACTGAGGTGGGACAATCAATATTTTGTACAACACCCTACCAACATAAAAGGATATTAAATTAGGATGCAAAACTTGTTGTTCAGTCCAACATTATTTATAATACTAATCATTATATCATAAATAACTTGGATAACTAAAAGCATAACTATAACATATCTTTTCTCCATAATGCCAACAAAATCAAGTGCAGGTGCTACCAAATCATTCAATTTCAGCATCAATAGAAACCAACATGAAGAACCCTTAATGCCATTTATATATTTTCCATCAATTGCCTTAAAATACGAATTTTCTCTATGACAGATTTTCCCAGTATAAATTAAAAATTGATTCCCAGATTTTCCCATTAATTGCCAATGATCTATTAACACAAAAAAACTACATTGTTTGAATTAGTGGTCTTATTTACCTACAATTAACAAAATCATAGACATTTCATTTAAACAATCATATACTAAAATAATCACAAAAAAAAGGCTCTGCAAACTCACACGAAACAAGACACATTTCAATTAAGCGTGCAATACAAAAATAGAAAAACACCATTACATGAAAGCAATTATAATCATTATGATCTGCTGTTATTAAAATATTAATGACTAATCCAGAGGCTACTGATGAATAAATAAGCAAGAACATTATGTAAAAAAATAATCACTTTTCTCCTAAAAGAGAACCGAGAAAAACCTGAAAACATCCGGGCAATAATTTATCCACTCAACATCTATAAACAAGGTTTGTGAATCTGTGGAGGAATCTGAAGGAAATCTTATGGAAGAACTAGTAATAGTCTTGAAATCAAGAATTGAAATTTCATGCTCTGCAACTACCATATTTCTGCTCCTGAAACCTACAGAATCTTTAACATGTTAGACCTTACAACACAAAATAAGAAACTCTAAAAGATAAATAAAACAATGCTACAAACAAAAAATTAACTTCATTAGCAGGATTAAACTATAAAAGAGATCTCAAAATCTTCAAAAATAAAGAGTCAGTGAGATGTAGCAAGGCTACCCACAGCAAACCACAGGTTATAAACAAACAAACAACCCATTACCTTTATTGGTTCATTTAAAGAATAACTACTAACGGTTCAGCAGGTTAATCATTTGTTAAACTTATATGAGTTATGAAGTTACTGCTCCAGTATTTTAGCTTCCAATAATCAATTAGAATCCAAACACGCAGTACGAAATAAAGGGAGACTTCATATGGCATCTAACCAATTCCACTTTCAACAATTAGACATGCCATTAAAAAGAGTCTGAGACGTCGGCTAAAAAGAAGGCTACTTGAGGCGAAACACAAATGAGAGGCAACCTGAAGTCCGTTAATCAAGAAACTCAATGTCGCCGAGAGGATAAGCAGAAGGCGAGGGTTAGCCAAGGGAAGGTGAGAGCCGTCGACAAATTCGCCAGCAGAGGAGTTGGCAGCATGTGCAGTCGCCATTGACACCAATATAACAGACGGTGCTGCCAAAGGCATTCAATACCGGGAAGCTTGTCATCTGATTTGATAAGCGAGGTGACATGCTTTGTGAGCAAGATGATGGGAGAATCTGTTTTCGCTGACATGGAGCCGGCTTTACTGGTGATTCTTCCCGGAGAGGAGATCTTGATAGGCCATAAGGAAAGAGAAGCCACTTCACCTACCATAATCTTCAAGCGACAACAGGAAACACTGTGGCACCCCAATGTGGCAACCGAACAAGCTGAGGCCGAGGTGGCAGGAGGTATGTATCTTAAATTGATGTAAAGAAAAAGATTGGAATTAGGTGGTATGAATATAAGAGTCTGTTTGGAGCAGTTGTTGATTATTTATAATTTACTGATAAGCAGATTATTCTGATAATCTAATAATCTGCAGATTATCAGAATAAGTTGGTTTGTTGTTTGGATCAGCTTATTCAGAACAGCTTAATAACAACTGTTGTTGGATAAATGATCATTCTGCCTCTGTTTGGTTAAGCTGTTTGCAACAGAACTGTATGAGCACAGAAATAGAGAAAACAGAACCCACAAGTCATTACAGATCAGTTCAAAAAAATAACATAGAGTGCTCACGTTCTCGTGAGTATCAAAAGTAATAAAACAAAAATAAATACAATTACAACTACAATGAGAAATATTAGAATATTCAATTTAAAACTCTGACTACCAAAATAAACCTATAGTCAGATCCAGAAATTACGAAAATTAAAAACTATCGAAATAATGATGCCTTGACAAGTGCTTCTGCAGAATTATATAATAGGTAGCACGTACAAGTAAATGCTTTGGAATTGAGAACCAGTTAGATTGCTTATTTTTTCACTTTTTATGGTTCTATGGATAATGATTTGATGAACTATTTTTCTCAAGGAGCTTAGAACACCATCCATATCATCCACATCATCAAGATTGCGTTTTCTTTGTTTCTAAGTTTATTATTAAGTTATAATAAATGTTGATTCATTTATAATATAGCTTACAAGTTTACTTTTCAGCAATTCTAATGGCCTTCTTTACTATTCATTTTTGGCTTTCAATCATTAAGATTAAAGATCGTTTAAGAATACGGTATGTGAGAATCAATGATCTGTTGTGTTACACAACACTTATCGTTTAAGAATACGGTATAAATATGTTACACAACACTTATCAATTTACATGATTAACATCCAATCTTTATACTCTTACATATGAAGTTATTCAAATGGCACATCATTTATGCTTTTATAAATATTACACTTAAAACAACAGAATATAAAACTAAAGTAAATTACAAAGTCTGAATATCAATATTACACTTAAAACTAAAGTAAATTACGAAGTTTTTGAAAACTTTTTATGCTTATGTATGATATATAAATTTCAGAATTTTCTGAAAATCCCAGCAAACCTTGTCTACTTTTCATGTTAATGAGGTGTAACTATCATCAAACTAAATGACATTTACTCTAAAATTCTGTAGTTTTAGAAGATTCAATATGAGACAAACCTAAGATCAACACTAGTTGTATATATGGTTATCAAAATACACAACTGAAGAAATGTTTGACACAACAAATTATTTGGAGAAAAGCCAGCAATCAATTGGAGGACCATGAATCATGTAAGGATATATATGCCCATGCAAGATGCTGTGAAAAAGGTGAATTGGTTGTCTCAAAAAATGCTTACAGTGGACAGGGAAGGTGTTGAGAAGAGAAGGACTGAAGGAGAGCTTCGATCCTGAGCCTTTCGTCTGCCAAAGGTCTTGCGGTTCGAGTGTTGGACAGCTTCGAGTCTTTCGTCTGCCAAGGGCTGGAGGAATCGCGACCGGGATGGGTTGGGAGAAATCGCGAACGGATCAAAAACGAAAGATCGAGGGCTCTCCGCCTTGCACCGCGACCGGGACAGGTTGGAAGAATCGCGAGATGAAGATCGAGGGCTGGAGGAATCGTGACCGGGATTGGGAGGAGAAGGGATCAAGGATGAGCTCGAGGGCTGGAGGGTAATAAGCTCGAAGCCAAAAGCTGGCTACGAAGCGCGGCCGCAAATAATGAAGAATTTGGGTCGAGCGATTTTGTACCACCATCCATACGCGCGAAACAAACGAATGGTCGGCGATTTCAGAACGCCTACCGCGCTAATAAGCTGCCCCAAACGGGCACTAAATCTTGTGCACAACTTTTACGAAATAATTTACGAAAAATAATATTTAAGTCTGAAACCTAATGCGCACTTATCCACGATATGATATGATAGTTGTCGTCTAATTTTTTACCATTAAATTTATTTATGCAATTATTTTTCTTTCGAATTTTGTGTTGATGTGAAGCACCAGGACTCACAACTGCTTTGAAAACTAATATGAGTGATCAAACCAAAGATAAAAAATACGGTGTCTTACTCAGTTTAAGGTAATCTTCTTATACCAAACCTCATAACAAGATAATTCATTTCCAAAATAAAAAAACACAAAAACTCATATCTACTTTGAAAACAAATCGGGATAATCAAACCTATGGTTAAAAACATGGGGGCTCAGATTGTGAAAAAAAACCTAAAACTTAATTAAAACTATTGTTTAGTGAATCTATGTTGTACATAAAAAATGTGTCAGCATGAATCAAAAAGAGATCTGACAAGCGACAGGGAATGTGACCTGGCGGTCTGGCACCCATCCAGAACAGTTGGAGGGGCTATATCTATCCGGACGGCTCCTACGAGCCCAAAGAAAAATAGTCTCAAAATAGACAGAATTCGGCCACCATCCTAAAGTCTAATGACACAAAATTCATGCAAACGAACCCGCCGGCAT